ATCTTAGAGTTTATACTTGAATTAAAAGGCCAACAAAATTTCAATGAATTCTATCTTGATTTGGTGGCAGCCCTGTACCTAAGAAAGAAGCACGGAACTGTACCATGCCAAGACAGCTACTATACCTGATATAGTCAACACCCTAACGGAACTCTAGTACAGTTCCCGACCCCTTGTGGGTTAGGGCCAGGAACCTATTCCGTCTGATGATGAAGTGGTTCTTCCTTTACCTGACACGCAACAGCATATCTCTGGACGAAATCGGAAGTGTACAAGGCGTGAGGATGATCAGTTCCTTCATTATTAGTCGTTAGAGAAGAAATAGAAGGGCAATTAAAGATGATTTTCTTAAAATTCTTATTCTTCCACTCTTCGACTATACATATAAAGTATATACAGTTTGAATACCTATAAATACAAGATGGGACTACATAATTAATGCATATCACATGATCTAGAATGTTTGTCTGGTTTGTCTACCCAACTGGGTTACCCAAAACCCAGTTAGGTTCTATATAAAAGCCCAGAACCCAACTCAGAACACCCCCCTTAAGCCCAAAACCCAGCCCAAGTTGGGTTTGATACATGTTTCAGTTGGGTTACCCGGAACACCTGCCTAGGTCTAACCCTAAGGATACACCGAAATACCTCGAGACATTACATTCGGCTGCTCATACGTTTACGCCGCGGACAATTCCTAATTTCGACGACTTTATCAAGCAAGACCTCCTCCTAGCTCTTGACCTCGAGGTCTGTTCATCATTTCGATTGCAAGAGGGAGACAGACTCAGGCTTGCCACTTCAATCAGGCCGAGGCAAGGTCCTATCTTCCTATCATATAAGGATACTAGTGTTACGGGGCGCCCTCACAAGGGACCAGGAGGAAATCTACGGGGAGTTACAGGCCCTCTCCGATTCTAAGTTGCGGTGAAGGGTGATGCTTCTTGAACATATATCTTCTGCAGGAAGTTTGCATCGAGCATGCATTTAACCCGTGGTTTGCAAGGATGATGTAGCTCGTATCTGTAAGAGGATTCAGCTGAGTCTGCAAAGAGAGTTTAGCGAGGACGATCCGATAGCGAAGCCCCCTCGAGTCCATTGTGTCTTAGTCATGTTAAATAGCCTTGGGGAGTTGTGCATTATAATCCCCAAGAATCAGTCTTGTCCTGAATCTGATTACATTGTTCCTCCCTCAAGCATATTTGCTTCTTTTTACCTGGTTGACGGATTCTCATCCAGTATACTGCCCTTTATAACTAGCCGCTAGGAAATCAAGGATATCACGAAGTGGTTTACGGTCAAGAGATAGAGTAAGTGCCACGCTAGCGTTATTATTAGTCTACTAGAATAGTAAGTAAACTGTATACTATATAATACTAGAAATTTGATTGAAATTATAACGGGCCAGAAGCCGGTAGTAAACCATATACTATAGCCATATCCCGTCATTGGATTTCTGCAGAAACCATCGCTAGTCCGGACATCGCCTTTGGCAGAAAGGATCCTATCCCGTTTCCCTATAGAGACGGGAACGATTCTCTTCCTTTCCACAGGATTACTATAAACAGCATGTTGGCCTAGCTTATATTGAATCAATTCTGCTATAGCCCTTCATAGAAATATAGGTCTCTCGGCTAGATTAGCCTACTAATTAGCCTGCTACCCCCTCTACCGCTTTTCTCTCTGCCGTCCTTGCTATTCCTCCCAATTTTCTTGAGTTGGCCGCTCGCAGATTTGAAGGATCGGTAAATCCCCTGCCTGTTTTAAATTCCTCCTATCTGTATACTGGTAGAGGATAATTGGCCTCCCGCAAGCTACCCATGGGCGTTCTTTCTGTTTGCGAATATAATGCCGATTCCATGATTTCACGAAGGTATTAATGCATGAACGTATCGTAGGCATAAAAATCGCAAGAAGAGCAACTTGATCAGGTATACTCGATATAGAAAAGAGATGCTCGTCTCGAAGGGTCGCGAAGTAGCTCTAGTAAAATAAGAAAATTATTAATAGAGAATAATTATAATCCTCGATAATTCAGAATAGTTCCGGAAGACTTGCGGAAGAGAAAAGTTCGAGAACTCGACACTCACTCGCCATACAAAGATAGCTGATTTTGATAGCTGTGCCCACCAACTCTCGATACGAGTATTCTCAGTACTCCGACCGTAGGAATAACTGTCGGTATGTGGGATTTCTGGATCAGCCACACGCCTAAGAGCCCAGTGAGCATCTCCAAGAAGAATTGATGTACTTTGGCGTTGTGAATACAGGCTACTCGGGCTCGGTGGGTCTCTTACACGTCATATCATGTTGGCTCCTCCGACTGGTCATCAGTTCTTTATTCCTTCAATCCTGCGCCAGATGGGATTCACCGCAGCAGCTGCCTAGGTACGCTCAGTCCCCATCTTCCTGGTCGCGGCTATTTTACAGCTTACTGTGGCATACCTGACCGATTGCTACCTCCACCGATATGGCTTCACGATGTTGGGAGTTTCGGTCAGCACAGTTGGCTATATCTTGCTCTTGAACCAGAAGAGCGCAGCCATCTCAGCCGGAGTCCAATATTTTGCCCTTTTCCTCACCATCAGCGGCGGATTTGTCACGCAGCCGATTACACTCGCGTGGTTGGCCAACAACGTCAGTGGGCATTACAAGAGGAGCGTGTCATCCGCGATCCAGATTGGTTTCGGAAACTTGGGAGGGATTGTGGCCAGTTTTATCTACTCCGAGCCCCCGTATTACAAGGTAGGGTATTCCACTAGCCTGGGAATGCTCTGGCTTTGTGGTGTTTGTTGCACCGCCATGTTTCTTGGTGCGACTCTGGAGAATAAGAAAAGAGACAAGGGCGGAAGGGACTACAGGTTTAATGAGGTGGATCTTGACAACATGGGAGACGCTCATCCGACATTCCGATTCACCACTTAGGAGACAGCGTTCAAGGTCTTGAACAGGGTCATAAAGACTGTGTTTCAGCCATATCTGGTAGAATAGTGTATTCTGTCCACGGTCTTTAACCGCATTTGAAGTCATGCTTCTGTGATTTGTGGTTGTGTGTCCTGTCCTCAAGGCTTGAACGATTGGGGATAGTAGAATGTTGGTCAAACAAAGCCCAAGCTAAAGGTGATATGAGATTTCGTTTGACAAATGCCGAGTTCATGTCTGCAAGCGAGTATTGGTCAGGCAGGAGTTTGTTGATAGAGGACCGCTTAGCATCCAGGTTTTATACCACCCACCAACAGTCGGATTCGATGGCGCATCTGTTATGAGCATATACTTCGAGACGTGGAATCTACAGTTGTTACCTGTTCTGCTGTTCGGTAGCTGCCGTGAAACCGGCAAAGCTGGGTGCTGGATGTCACGGATGAAGCCAGATGTTTTGCCACATAACAGCGCACTGCAGGACCTCTAGCCTGAATCTTTTTACATTCGGTGCATATCCATCGTGCTCCATCAGGGTCAACTATAGGATAGGGTTATAGAGTCTTTGCCACGAGATACACATGTAGGAAATGGCTGAAAAGAGCATCCCCCACCTGGTTTGAAGGCATCTCCATCAACCAACCCCCACATCGGCCTATGGAGACAGTGGCGACATGGATGTGGGGATGCAAGTAGCCTGAATGCTCGCCAAGAGGGCAAATGTTGTTTCTCTCGTCAGGGCACGCAGATGCCGAGCGGGCACAAGAGCATTACCTTAGACTCACTCCGTGTGGGGGGTGGGGCTGCTCCCTGCCTACCGACGAAAGACTCGATGTAAAAGGTCATCAAGACAAACCTTCAAAGACTGGTGTCAATGATCCCTACCGTTGCCCTCTACGCTACGCGACAATGGCATCTGAGACAAACCTTTCGAGCCGTTCACAGGCTTATCTCGAGCTCTTTCACGAATGGCAAAGTGCACACCCTCTCGCAGCTTTGACCACGGCTACATTAATCGCGACATCTCTGCTGTTCGCATCATACGTCCTGTACGCTCGATCGTTGTCGCCGCTGGCCAAAATCGACGGGCCGTTCTGGGCGTCTCTCACTCGCCTCTGGCTTGTGAAGCATTCTCGCGATGGCGACATGCACCGGGTCATAATCGCCGCGCACAAACGCTATGGGAGTCTTGTCCGGACCGGCCCCTCAGAAGTCAGTGTTGCCGATCTCGGCGCCATCAAGAAGATATACGGCGCGGGGACCAAGTTCCGGAAGAGCGACTGGTACAGTGTCTGGCAGGGGCGCCGGAAGTTCGATATTTTCCCCGAGAGGGATGAGAAGATTCATGGGGCGCAAAGGAGGCTCGTAAGTCATTTATATGCGATGAAGTCCCTGTTGCAGTACCAGGATAAGGTAAACGAGGCCATCGAAGTCTTTGTCAAGAGGATCCAGGATCATGGGAGACAAGACCCGCTGAACCTAGGCCTATGGGTTCAGTTTTTCGCTTTCGGTAAGTCCAATACCCTACCCTGTACAGCCCCTCACAGGCCACCGTCTAATACATCTTTGACAGATGTCATTGGAGCCATTACCTTCTCCAAGCGTTTCGGCTTCCTTGAAGCGGGCAGCGACAACGGACAGTTCAAGATCCTGGAACGCGCCCTTCGCTCTGGTGCATGGGTGGGACAGATGCCATGGGTATACTGGCTTAATGAAGCCCTGACGCCGTACATAGGCAATTGTCTCGATGTCATGGTGCGACATGGCTCGGTGAGACAGTTCGCCAAAGCTCAAGTTGACGATCGGTTGGCGAAGGATAACACGTCGTACACTGATTTGCTTGCACGGTTCTTCGATGTCAACAGGGGAAAGCCTTCAGACTTTGACGACACTGCTGTGCTGTCAATGGCTACCTCGAATATTTTTGGTGGCTCCGATACGACTGCGATTGCTCTGCGAGCGATCATCTGGTACGTCCTTAAGAACCCACGCTGCAAGCAGAAACTCGTGGAAGAGATCAGTGAGCGCCGGCGAAACGGTCAACTGTCCTTCCCAGTAGCCCTCGAAGAGGCAGAAGATATGCCATATCTGCAAGCATGCATGTACGAGGCCTTGCGTCTGCACCCTGCGGTTGGCATGTCTCTTCCTCGGGTTGTGCCCGACGGGGGCATTGAGATAGATGGACGCTTCATCCCAGCCGGCACGACCATTGGCGTCAATCCTTGGGTCGCGCATCGGGATGAGAGGATCTTCGGGAAGAATACCGAAGAGTTCAGACCGGAGAGGTGGCTCGTCGAGGACAAGGCCGAGTTGGAACGATATTTCTTCGCTTTCGGGAACGGCGCCAGGGCGTGCCTGGGTCGCAACATCAGTTGGATGGAGATGAGCAAGCTGGTTCCAACACTCTTTTCACGGTTTGACATGTCGCTTACAAACAACAACGCAGAGTGGACGGAGAAGTGCTGGTGCGTCCACTTCCTATCCCTGCTAAGTCTACGCTCCCGTGCTAATTAAACCTTTCATCGCAGGTGGTTTGTCAAACAAGATAATGTCTACGTTAAGTTTGCTCCTTTAGAATAAAGGTCTGGATTAAAATCCGCCGCGCGCGCCCGAGAGCGTTGCAGGACAAGGTAACAACGTTGGAGGGCTAGTATAGGAGACAGACGCAACAGATTTTCTCATTATTATTGTAACGCATTGGCAAGAGTACAATACTTATGAATTGCGAACGAATAAAGTGATACTGAAGATGGGCTGGCTAGAAGCACTTTCGCCCGTGTCCATCGCTCTGGGCACAGCTAGGCAAAACCACGTCAGAGGTCAATCTGCACTTTGTGTTCGAGGTGGCGTGGATGATTGACAGCGCTCTTCAATGACCCGCAACCGAACCTGCCGTGCGGATTCTTGGCTGTTATGAGATATCGAAGGTGAGCTACCATGACGTGAAAAGGCAGACTTGCCAAACCTGTTAGAATGGCCGAAGGCAACACGGACAATGCCCTGAAACTGCTACTTCGGTAATACTTTCCCAAGTAACCAAAGGGGAGGAGACAACTACAATCAAATTAGAGTATCTGGGCTTGAGTTGATGTGTTGTAGAGCATTGGGGAGTCTCGATGTTCTTTCGAGAGACGCTGACGCAGAAGGAACTCAAGGATGTTGCCACACGGGGGCATGATTCCACGCACAGAAGAGTGTCTGTCACTCTAGAAGAACGTCCAAACTATGCTTCATTCATTGTACAGCATTGTAAAGACCGTGTTACTTCCGGTATGTCGACCCTTCCGCGGCAAGCCTGCGCACGAAGCAAACTGAGAACAACCACACAGCAATCCTTCCGTCATACCTTGGTAGCTCAGCGGTGATGTTGAGTAATGTCAGAGCAAGCTGATACAGTATGGACTAGTATGCATATTAGCGAATGAGATCAAGCGGAACCAGCATCATGTGAATAAGATGGTTGATTGAATCAAAGTAGAAGATGCCCCGGAGCAGGTTGAAATACCCCCTGAATGTCTCTGGTACTCGGGGTTACAACGGCCCGGTTACCGGAAAATCCAAATTACCATACGAAATATAAGGAAATGTAGATCAATCAGTCATCCTCCTGTCCTAGCGGTAAGTTACCGCTCCATTCTCTCGACAAGTAATAACTCTGACGCCTATATGTGTGAATAAAGCTTCGGCAAAGGCTCAATAAAATCGCCAGTTCCAGGGATCCTCTCAGCATCAACCCAGTTTCCATGTACAGCAGATCGTGTCCCTGAATCATGTCAGCACGTGTTCAATATCGGGGGTTCCGGTTCCCCGCAATGGCTGAAGGAAATAACGCACGGAAGGGGAGTAGAATCCTGGCGACGATGTTCTGGAAGTCCTTGGTGTCTTGAATGATCTGCGACAGTACCTCCATGTCAGCATGTAAAAGGTCTCGACTGGCTTCAGTATCATGCATATAATCACTCTCATGAAGGGGGACAACGTGGGAAGAATGCAGGCTAGATACAATCGAGAGGAATAAGGGGTGAGTGGCAGTCCACAAGACTTACCACTTCGTTCCTCAATTTCGGAACATTGTCGATCATAGTGATCAGGAACCCGTCTCCCTCGGGTGCTCCCGGATACCGTGGGCTGAAACAAGGCTCTTGGACCAGTACGTCCGGTCCTGGCGACATGATCTCCAGTTTCTTGGTTTCGTAGTCGAATCGGCCAAGGCAGTTAAGCCCGCGGTAAAGGAGAGCTGGGTCGGCCACGGACTTGGGGTCGAAGCAATCGAAAAATGTATAGCGGGCTGTTGCCTGTTAGTTATCTCGGCCAGCTCGTTTAGAGAACTTACATCGTTTGGTCAAGAATCGCTCATCTATGCGGGGAAATTCGCAGGGGAGGTCGACCAGAATCTCTAGGTGGGTGTCAACTCCAGTACTTGACGGGTATACAACTCTCCTGGGTTCGTTTTACCTGGGTTTTCCACTTTCTCCGAAGCCGCATCAGGGCTGATGGTGAACCTGACGTAGTTGACCGTGACTGGCTTTGGTTCACTAGTTGATGTACAACTTCTCTTGATTGCTAGCAGAAGATGGGTCAGCGGGCGTGTGCCACAGTCTGTGTGGCACATTGTGCGGGCTTACGTAGAAAGGGGAACGCGTTGTTTGACGCAATCGTTGTGTCGAAAATGCTGTCACGATGACATTCAGAGAGCCGTTGAAAGTTAAGTGAGGGACTACTGCTACTCACATGTTTCCCTGTTCTTCCCACGATGCGCCAGTATGAATTGGCATTGAGTTCTTCCAGTGAAAAGTCCGCACGGGTTTGCCCATGTCCTTAGGGACCACGTAAAAGTACGTCGGCAGGTCCTCGTCGTAGGTCCTTGCCAGTGGAAGTCAGCACCATGAAAAGCTTGAACGGGACCTGTCCTACCAGAGGTGACCATCCTTGGTCTTCAGTTGCTCATAGCTCGTACGGAAGGGCATCTGCTGCAACACAACGTAGTTCTTGGTCTGAGGAAGGAAGAGTTAGTGAGAAGTCCAGGGTACAGTGGTAGAGTAAATCCCCAACATACAATCACACAGTCGTGGACGAACCCGTTGATGGGCCTTTCGAATGGTCGTTCGAGGGTCTTCTTTCCATCCTTATCAAGAATCCACACAGTACACTATGACAAAGCCATCAGCGAATAGGAGCTTTATAGTCACCACACGAGAAGGATTCCTTACATCATTGCTCTCAGCTCCCTTGATGCCGTAGCCGTAGCCGATGAGATCACCCGTGTCAGGATCAATCTTGGGGTGCGCTGTGTAGGGCCCATTCATCGGGAGCTGGCCAGGAAAAGGGTTGTGGCCAACGGTGGTCATGGTAGCTGTTTTCATGTCTCAGCTCCTAAATCGCCTTCGTGCGTACTTGAGGGAGGGGGCTCACTTGGGTCAAGCTCATACGGTGCCCCTAGTTCACCCAAGGCAAGCAGCTTCCCTGCATGGACAATGACATTTGTGTTGGCCACATTGTCCTCCAAGGACCTGACGCAGGGGTGGTGGGAAAAGGGGGTTCTCATAACCCCAAACATGGCTCTCCCAGCCTTGCGCTCGGCCAGAAAACGCTCCGTCAAGACATATCGCTGCTTGAACGAGGCTTTTCCGTCTTGAATACGAAACGCGCTGATATTGCCGTCGGCATCGAACGGTGTGGTCTTTGTGCCGCCCTCGTAATAGTCACGCTCATAATACGGATCATGGGAAACCTAAACGTTCACAAAGTCAGGTTGTGTACGCTACCGGCGGCATGGCCTGGAGGGACTGTTGACGCTACTTACACGATAGAAAGTACCGCGAAGCTCCAGAGGGATTTCACCCTCGACCTCGAGGTCGTCAAGTTCTACGTGGGCTCGGAAGGGCCGTGAGGCGCCGGCGAAATCCTCGTAATTACTAGACAGGGCGTGCACCATGATGGCTTGAGTACGATACTAAGCTGTAACGAGATGGAGAGTAGTGTCTGGAAGAATTCCCGTTGTCTGAAGGATGCAATGATGTCTGCTTACAACACAGGCAAGGTGGGTGATAAGATACAATTTCAACACTGACTGCGAAGAGGCCCATGATCTTTATACAGATACTTTGAGTCCCGCCAAGTGAGCAGCCACAACTTTGACGCCCTCTTTTGTTCGTCCCTCTGCCGTCGGCATGATGTGGGGTAAACCTGTATGTCATCAACAATGGCTTGCTACGCGCATCCTAGCAAAAGCTTGGCCAGCACTCATGTGGTGGGGAGTGGAGTTTATGCCGAGTGGGGTAATTTGTGAGCCCCAAGCCTCCGGCTATGATGAGATGCGAGTACAGCAATCACTAAGCAAGTGGACCGCCAAAACGCAGTTTTTACTAAGTAGATTCACCGCCTACACTCCCGCCTACCCCCCCTAACAAAGGTTTTGGCAGATAAAGAAACGAATCCATACAATGGAATGCTGCCCAGAACTCATTCAGAGTAAAAATGCTCCGTTTAGGATCCTCAATATTCCTCCCACGTATTCAAATGCTATGCAGGGCCACTCCTCACTCAGCAGTCCCCCCCACGATATCATCCGCTAAGTGATGATACCCCACACGTGCTGGTGTCTGGAGCTTCCCCCCCGGCCCAGCATCATCGTTTTGCGGAGGATCAACACACCACCCCACCTCTTCCGTCGGCAGCACGGCAAACCTGGTGGATCGCGAAATCCGGGGAGGAGGCGTGAACCCGTTCCGCGCAGTCTAATGTGTTGCGATATTCAACTTGGCCGATGAATATTTACTGTCGTGCTATAGCGGCCACTTTTTCATCGTCTCAATCTTAGTCACCCCCACATGCCCATCAGGAGTCCCATCTCTGTGTTGCTACGACCGTGTGAGCAACTCAAATTATCAGCCTCGCTTAGACGGCTCTTGACGATTTACCCCAACATGGAAGCCCCTAGTGTTCTCAACCTCGTCGTCTCCATTGCTATCCTATTAGCATGGACCTCTTACCGATGGTTTGGTAAACTCTCGACGAACACCAAAGGCGATCACTTTGCAACCACTGACACTAAGCCTGGCGGTCTGAGAGACGTTGTTGCCACCCTGGACGGCTCTGGAAAGGACTGCATTGTCTTTTATGGATCACAGACCGGTACCGCCGAACAATTCGCGTCAAAACTAGCCCACAAGGGCAAAACCAGATTCGGCCTCCAGACTATGGTAGCCGATCTCGAGGAGTATGACTTTAGCAACCTGGATTCTATTTCCAACAAGTTCGTCGTCTTCATACTCGCTACCTATGGAGAGGGAGAGCCCACCGATAATGCTGTTCAATTCTACGAGTTCATCACTCGCGACGACCACACCTTTTCTAAACCAGATCCGCCATTGCAAAACCTTAAATACGCAGCATTCGGTCTTGGAAACAATACCTACGAACATTACAATGCCATTGTGCGGAACACTGATATCGCTCTTGGGAGGTTGGGTGCCTCTCGGATTGGGGACGTCGGCGAGGGCGATGATGGATCCGGCACGACGGAAGAAGACTTTCTCGCTTGGAAAGAGTCTTTCTGGGCCGCTTTATCGAAAAGACTGGGTCTCACTGACCGTGACAACGTTTACGAACCTTCTTTGAGCATCACTGAGAGGGCCGAGATGTCTGTCCAAGCCCCCGAGGTATGCCTCGGCGAATTATCCCCAGCGCATCTAGGCGGTCATTTGAGGGGCCCGTTCGATGCACATAATCCTTACGTTGCCCCTATTGTGGCTACCGGGGAGCTTTTCAACGCCACCGACCGGAACTGTCTGCATGGATAGAGGGGTTGCCCAAGCTACAACCTCGGTATTACTCTATTTCTTCATCCTCTCTTGTCCAGCCCAAGACCGTCTCTATCACAACTGTTGTCGAAAAGAAGGCGATTCCCAGCCAGGGGCACGAGTTCTTCGGCGTGACTACCAATTATCTTCTTGCTCTCCACCGGTCCAAGGCCGGCGATGTCAGCCCAGGAGACATTTGCCGGACATATGACATAGGTGGGCCAAGGAACAGATACAGCGGAATCCGGGTTCCCATTCACATCCGCCAATCCAACTTCAAGTTACCTCCAGATTCTTCAAGACCAATCATCATGATTGGTCCCGGAACCGGTGTTGCCCCGTTCCGTGGTTTTCTCCAAGAGAAGGACAAACAGGCGAGGGACGGGGTTCCAGTGGGCAAGATGTTGCTCTTTTTCGGATGTAGGAACGCTCAGGAGGACTTCCTGTACAAGGCAGAGTTTGAGGTGAGATCTAAATCTTCGATTCTTGGAGAGAATAGCCAGTTGACCTTGGTAATCTCTGTCGCAGGCTTATTCAGAGGCTCTTGGCGCTGGGTTCGAATTTATCACTCCTTTCTCTCGCCAAGGACCCAAACAGGTTTATGCTCAGCACCGTCTGAGGGAACGGGCCGCCGAAGTCAACTCCCTTCTCGAAGAAAGCGGCTACCTGTATGTTTGCGGCGATGCTGCAAATATGGCTCGGGAAGTTCACAGCACCGTGGAAGAAATCATTGAGGAGCAGCGCCGCGTGCCCAAGTCGACAGCTCAGGAAATCGTGACAAGCCTGAGAGCAGCGGGTAGATATCAGGTGAGGCTTTTGTCCCTTCTTGCAATGTCCACTTCAGCGCGGCCCTTGAGGCTTCACTCTTGAACATGTTACCGAGTCAGAATGTGCTAACGAGTAACAGGAGGATGTCTGGTAATGAGAATGACCGGGGGGAGTTGCGTCTGACAGGCACAGGTGGCTAAAAACTAGTGATAGACGATTTAATTTAAAGTTTTCTTCCCTTTTTCGGCGAGTCAAATATATGCTATTACGTTGAGTACTTGACCATTAAAGTCTTGAGGTCTGTACCAAAAAGCGAAAACCATGCAAATCCAAGGTCGGCCATCGGACCTGCCCTCAAATCAGTTGCCAGAGCATAGGACCAGGAATTTAATGGGCTAGCCCCCCATGTTTCATCTTCTTCGTCACTCAACAGAACCAAAGTTTCTGTATCAGACGAAGGGGATGGCATCAAACAGCCTGGATGAACTTGGTCATTCAAGATCGGAGCTTCCAAGCCAACCGAAACAGATTTTTCTAACACTTCATCCAGAATTTTGCAGTACGAGTAAACAGTTGAGGCGGGAACACAAGTTTTCATTCAGATATCGATTTTGTACTTATTGTCATCATGTCTGTCTGTATTGAGTCAAAAGTCATATCCAACTTAGGCAAAAGTCCTCAACTGAGATCCACAAAGACAGTCTTGGTCTCTGTCCAGATATCAAGCCCTTCCGAGCCGAGCTCTCTGCCGGTACCAGAACCTTTAGTCCCTCCAATCGGAAGGTTCTCACAATGATACGGTGAGGTGGTGTTGATGCCAATGGTTCCAGCCTCAAAGTCTTTAGCAAAGTGAATTGCGCGACTGATATCGCGCGTGAAAACGCTCGCGTATAAGCCATACTCGGAGTCATTTGCCTCCGATATAGCCTCGTCTTCCGTGTCGAACGGGATTACGCAGACAACAGGTCTATGTGAGCGGCTGTTAGCAAAACACCGCCACGTAGGCAGACGCTGGCAGTACCCACCCGAACACTTCCTTTTGCACAATATCGCTGTTCTTTGGCGGATCCCAGATAATCACAGGGTCGACGAAGCAGCCCTTCTGCTCAGTTGGAACATCTCCCATGGAAAAGGAGCATGCCTCTTGCTTGGCCCCCTCCAGGAACTCTTTGATGGTGTTGAATTGTTGACGATCTGCCACTGGACCAGATGTAGTCTTGGGGTCTAGAGGATCGCCAACGTGACCTCTCACTTGAAGGATCTTATCCTTGTACATGCTTAGAAATTGAGTCGCCACCGACCTGTGTACGTAGACTCTGGTACTGGCCATGCAAATCTGACCAGAGTTGAACATGATGGAGAAGGCGGCAGCCTGGGCAGCCTTTTCAAGGTCGGCATCCTCGAAAACAACCAAGGGGCTCTTTCCGCTGCGACCTTGTCAGAATGATAGTGGTGAAAATATGTCTGGAGCCATACCCCAATTCAAGCGTGCAGTCCTTCAAATTTGATTCAGCGGCCGCTCGCTGAACAAGCTTGCCCGTCCGGGCACTTCCCGTAAACGAAATCTTGCGGATCTTCATATGGCGAGCAAGGCAGTCGCCGCAAGGCTTGCCAAGCCCCGACAAGATGTTCAAAACGCCCGGCGGCAGCCCAGCCTGCTTGGCAAGGCGAGCGAAGAGGAGAGAAGTAAGTGGAGACTTCTCAGAGGATTTCATGACCAGGGCATTCCCGGCAATGAGCGAGGGCCCGATCTTCATGCACATCATGATTAAAGAAACGCTGTGCCATTCCGGGTCAGCGTCTATTTAAGTAGGAACTCCAAGCCATGTCCGCGTTGAGCTCGCAACTTACTTCCATGGGATGATAGCTGCGGTGACGCCATACGGCTGCTTTAACGTCAGATTCAAATGGCTATCCGTGGCCAGCGAGGTAACACCCGCGATATCATGACCCTTTCCAGCGTAATCTGGTTCGGGGTTAGCACATCGACAACAATGCAAAGCCTAACGACGCGCAGCTTACATCTCAAGATCGAGGTGCCAATGATGTGGTCCACATAGTTGGAGACTGGCTTGCCCATCGAGATGGCTTCCAGGTACGCAAATTCGCCGACATGCTGGTCAATAAGGTCACATATCTTGAGCATCACGGCTCGTCTTTCCGAGGCTAGATGGCATGCCGGTCAGAGAGGTCGTCGATAGCATCGCACTTGTGGCTTGGGTACCTGAAACCTTTGCCCATGGCTTTGAGGCCCGGCTAGCAGCCTCTACAGCCAAATCGACGTCTTCGGCCTGGGCCGCCGAAACATTGGCTGAGAGGTTTCCTGTGGCGGGGCTGATCAGGGGAAATGTCTTGTTACTTCTCGACGGTTGGAATTCGCCGTCAATGAAGTGGCGGGTCTCTATCGGGTAGGTTGGAGACTGGGCACCAGACTGCCCGTTACCAGCGTCGGCCGCGAGGTAGGTGGAGGCAAAGCTTTTCATCATCGTGTCTCAAACGGGGGCTTCGAAAGCGTATGGCTGGCCAAGAACAACGAACCGAACAGTGTCCCATGAGATCATTTGTACAAAGGACTGGATCGAGTGGCTTGACAAATCGTGTGGAATTTCCCCGCACCCCACATACGGCTTTCTGGGGAAGAACCTAATTGGATTGGTAAGGACGGAAGAATCACTGTGGACAGGGACGTCGGATCTGTGTGGGGTAAAAGGCCAGCAACCGGACCGCCGGAGACGATGAGGGCGACGTTCCACGCAGCATGGGTTTAGTTAGCATCTCGACTCATCAAGGCTCAGGGATGGCCCATCGAAAAGCAGCTGAAGTTCGCATGCTAGCAGTTGTAGCGACCGGCAAATAATTTAGAGGAGGAAAGCCTTTCATTGCTTGCGAACTCGGAAAGAATATCTCTAAACTCTCAAGCTAATACTCTTCCCTTCCAACCATTGCTCGTACTTGCGGTGGAGAACCTCCTTCTCTGGCCCGTGGCTGTCCAAGTCCAGTCTTGGCGGGCATCCAATCTTGGTTTCCGCCCACGCGAGGTACTTGTAACCCGGGGGGAACCCAGCCACCTCGTCCTCCGGGATGTGGTAGACCCTGCTCGGGTTCACGGGATGGAAGCGGTCCTTGTCGAAGAGCAAGGTGAAATGGACCACGCCCCACCTGTTGGCACGCTTCTCCAAGAAGTAATAGAAGCGACAGTCAGTGTCGAGATCCATCTCGATCCCATCAAAGGTGAACCTGGCCGTGATGGTGGCCTTCATCTTGCAGCCGGCGCGACGAAGTTCGGGATCAATGTCGACCGAGTGGCCATTGATGCGGTGCAGTATGTACATGAAACTGTGCCCCTTGTCAAAGCCATCGGAAGATGCTGCGATGAATTCGTCGATGGTGCCCTGCTTCCAGGATGTGACGATGAATGCATCGTCAACTGAAGGACAAAGGGCGACATCAGCCACGTAGGTCACTCAGAGTAAAGAATATGGGGCACTCACAGAACATGGAGCGATATTCGGTCCACCTGGTATTTGTTAACATATGGAGACATGTGCAAGGGAAGCATGTGGCATTACTCGGCCGCGTCCCGATACACTCCCCATCCTTCGCAAATCTCCCTGATCTTGAAACGCTCCAGGGCCTCTGCGTCGAGAAACAGACCGCTGGAGTTGTTACGCAGCGCGCGTCGTGGCACTAGGTCAGGCAAATGGGTGACCGGGTATTGATAATCGGATCCCTGGCCCTTGTCTGAAGCCATCGTCACTCGTGGAGTTGCAGTTACAGTCAAGGGAGATTCTTCTCGTGCCGCTGTACTTTTTCCTCTTTATCCCTTGATAGTCACTTCAACTTGGGAGCCTGCATTACTAGAGTAACCACTCAGAGACTGCGAGGAATGTGGAGGTTGCGAACTCGAAGATAAAATGACTGGAAGACTACGCAATACAAAGGAAGGCCTCTCCTGATAACAAAATTCTCCACTTCCCCCATCGGCCATCCCCACCGCCACGACTGGGCGCTTATGCAGCCCCCATCGGCTTGCCTCCCCATGTTACCTAGTCTCGTCCCCGCCGAGTTCTCAGCCGGCAGATCAACCCTTGTTGAACGGGGAACCTGTTCATTGCCGCATTAGCATCATGTGGGGAAGAGCCAGAGTGACACCTGGCCGTAAGGTGAGGACTCACCAGTAGTTGACGGTTTCTAGATCTTTCTGCGGTGCGACCAGAGTGATGTCAAACTCGCGGAATAGCTGCGGTATCATCTTGGACGTCTCCTTCCCAGCCGTTAGCAGCGTGATGACAGCGTAGGAAGACTAGGCTCTTACCATCATGGCGATGTTTTTACCAATGCAGACGCGGCTCCCAGCCCCGAATGCAAGGGACGATCGCTCCATTTCCCTGAGCTGCTCCGGATCCGCGTCCAACCACCTCTCGGGCTGGAACTCGTCTGCATCCTCGCCGTAGACTCGCTTGTCCCGGCCGACAACCCAGGGGTTCATGCCGACGACGTAGCCTTCGGGGATGAACTTGCCACAGATGGTGGCGCCGCCTTTGGGCACATGTCGTTCCATGAGCATACCCACGCTCGGATGAAGCCTCATTCCCTCCTTGATGATGGCTTGCAGGTACGGCATCTGTCGCGCCTCGCTCTCTTTGACCGGGTCCGACAGCTTGCCCGCCTTGTCCAGCTCGTCGATTTCACGGAGCAGCCTGTTGTAGCAGACCGGGCTGGTAATCAGGTTGTGGATGATGGAGCGCAGGGCGATGGCAGTGGTGTCGCTCCCGGCGAGCACGTTGGTGCTGGTATGGTTTACAATGTCGGCGCTCCCGAAGGCGCCGCCATTCGTGCCACCGCGGACACCATCCTTCATCATCTTCTGGAACCGAACCAGGAAGTCGTCCCGGCCCTTGTTTACCTCTTCTGCCCCCATCTCGTTCATGCATTTGTTGGCAAAGTTGACAGCCGGGTTGAACGTTTCAATGGCGGGCATGACGATCGGTAGGAGAGGGTTGCCAGCCAGCAGCTTGTGAAGCCAGGGAACTTGCCCGACAACGGCGGCGTAGATGAAAAATGCGCCAATGGAGCTAATCACGTTGTCGACGTCCCTCGACTCTTCGATGAACCCGAGGGTTCTAGAGAAAGTGAGGTTGCCGATCACGTCAAAAGCGTACCATCTAGACATTGGGTCAGCATTGCGCGTCCTTGCTTGGTATACCAGAGGTCGGAAACATACTGGAGCCACTCCCCGAGGTCGAATGCTTGGTTCTCTCTCTCAAAGTTCTTTAGCTTTTCCATGAAGAGTTTCGAGACGTGATCTATCTTGGGCTCGAGCTCCGCTAGCGCGGCCATGCTATAGGTATGTGCCACCGGCCGCTTGATCCGGCTATGGTAGGCCTCGTCGCGAGTAGCGAAGAGATTCATCAGTGGCTTCTTTTCGTAGCGTGCTGCCTGGATTGGGTAGAAGGCAGTCTTGGTAAAGCCTCCGTTCACCGAATAAATCGTCTTGATGGCTGCCGGATCTCCGACGGAGACATGCTTGGGTCCCACGCGGACTAGAGGGCCATATTGACGATGGAGATTGATTGCTGGGTTTGCATTAGTTAGGGAACGCAAAGATGATGCGGTAGACCTCACTTGTGTACTGAGAGCGTCCCTTGTAGGTATCCCAGGTTTTCCATATGCTGGAGAAGCTTGCCCAGAAAGGTCCAGGGATACCCCGGAGATGACGGTCAAACTTGACAGACAGATAGTAAATAACGACCGTGGAAATAGCCACTGGTATCAAGTATGGCGCAACGTAGAGGTCATACTGATCCCGAAGGCGAGATTGGCCTGCTGGCACAAGCCAAGGCAGGGAAGCATCAGTGATAAGCCCCATCCTCGGTCACGGCAGCAGTGAAGAGGTCGTTGGAAAAGAACTTAAAAAAGGCAATATCAGGGCTACAAAGAGCCTTGACCCCATCAGATGACGAATTCAGTGCCCGCTTTGTATTAAATGCAGAGCAGGCTAAAAACAATGCCGCCTTAATCCGGACTATCCTGGGGTTGCCCAAGGACCCCCGCGGGCTCCCCTCCCCACATGTTCCGGACCGTGCATGTGGGAGAGCGGCATTTACCTTTGTTGCAAGGCCGGTATGTGGCAAGGATTTTGTCCCGTCAGCTTTCCAGTCATTGAAGAATAGAGCCTGTGCTCGTTTGTAGTGTCTATGTTGAGCCTACCGCTAGAATCCGACCAAGTTTTGGCCTTTAACAACGTCGACTGGTCGCTGGCATCTGTCTTTATTCACCTAACACTGTTTCTCGGCAGCAAAATGCTTCTTGTGTGGACTGCAGCTATTGTAGCCATTACGTGGCTGGCATCCGGGCTGATCGTTCCATCGTCCAAGACGAAACGCGGCCAAAAGCCCTTGCCTGGCCCACCAGGTACGTAAGTGCACTCAGTGCTGTCAATGGGCCATATCTGCTAACCATGACGCTCAAGGCAAACCACTAGTTGGAAACCTCTTTGGGATACCCCCATATCATTCTTGGCTCAAGTTCAAGGAATGGGCCGACAGCTACGGCCCGGTCTTCCGCCTCAACCTCGCGGGCCGGCAACACGTCGTGTTGTCGACCGAGAAGGTTGCCAATGATCTCCTGCGCGAGCGAGGGACTTATTATTCGTCGCGCGAGTTCCTGCCAATGGCATCTGGAATTGTCTCGCGCGAGATGAGGCCATTGCTTCTCCCGTACAATGGTGAGGTCAACGATGAGACAGCTTGCAGAGACGGGTACTAACCTGAACTTTCCCTGCAGACCGATGGCGCCGAGGTCGGAAGCTGATGCATCAGTTAACCATGCCATCGGCAGCCGACTCTTATCAACCTGTCCAAGACTACGAGTCCAAGAAACTACTCGTGTCCCTGCTCGAGACACCTGGCAAGTACGACAAATGGTTCGAGCTGTACGCCTCGGGAGTTGTTTTCCGGATTGGATTCAGCAAATGGATTGAAACTGGCGAGGAGCCCGCTGTCAAGAGAATCATCCAGGTCAACCATAATCTGGAGCGAGTCGCGTCCCCTGGAGCTTACCTGGTTGATTCGATGCCGTTTCTCAATAGCTTGCCCGAAGTGCTGGCCCCCTTCAAGAGAGAGGGGCGAAAATTGCACGAGGAAGAACTAAGTCTCTTCAGAGAACTGCAGTCTGACGTGCGGCGCGCAGTGGACAACGGCTCCGAAGCTCAGTCTTTCACACGCACCTTCCTCGAGAACAAGGACAGCTACCAGCTCTCCGATGACGAAGGGGCCTACGTCATTGGTACCTTGTTTGAGGCCGGAAGCGGCACAACAGCGGCGGCCATGATGTCGTACTGTCTCGCCATGTGCCACTTCCCCGAATGGCAGAAGAAGATGCAGGACGAACTGGATGAGCAGGTGGGTGATCGCATGCCCGAGTTCGAGGATATACCAAACCTGCCGACCGTGCGTGCTGTCATCAAGGAGGTGTTGCGGTGGCGCCCAGTCACAGCAGGTGGATTTCCTCACGAGCTGACCAAGGACGACGAGTACGATGGGTTTTTCTTCAAGAAGGGCACCATATTCCATCCTAACCAATGGTGAGTAACGTCCCAGCCCGGAAGGGGCAGACTCTGCTCGATGGTCGATGCTAATTTCATCACCTACTTCGCAGGGCAATTCACCGGGATCCGGCATTGTACCCCGACCCAGACAACTTCCGGCCGGACAGATGGCTAGACCCAAAGTTCCCAACCACGTACAGAGAGCCGTTGTCCAAGTTTCCCAATCTGCAGAACTTCAGCTGTTTCGGATTCGGGCGTCGTATCTGTCCAGGCCAGAACATCGCCGAGCGGTCTCTGCACATATTGACGGCTCGGATCGCCTGGGCAGGCAGCATCGCCAGGAAGAGAGGCTCCGACGGGAACGAGCTGCCACTGCCATTGTACGACTACACCAAAGGCTTCAACACCCAGCCAGAGCACTTTGAGTTTGACATGGTTGCGCGATCTCGGGCGCGGCATGAAGCCATCAAGGAATCTCTGAGGGAAGCGAGGTCGCGACGCCCTGCGTAGCCGAGCGGATGAGGGATGGCCATGGCAAAGCACGGGAGGCTATCAGATCAATGGCATTCATGTATCGTTTAGTAGACTCAATGGCAAACCCAGTGACATTATTTTCAACGGACGGCATCTACGCTGGCCTGGCCCACAGGTCCAAGATTGACTGGCCTCGGTCAAGGCTGGGGGTTCACAGTTCTGCAATATGTAGCATCTCTTGATCGAGATTATCGTAGTTCCACAGGGGGTCGACGGACAGGGGGCTGGCCCTGTCCCGGACGAGCGGCAACGAGTGGGAGCAGCGTGGAGGCGAGAGATGAGCACTGAATTACACAGCGTCGGGGAATGAATGCACTAACGCAGAGTAGCCCAGTGTCGCCCCGCACCCCGCAC